ATTCTCATGTGATTGGAAGGTGTCGAAGGAGTCACCGGCGGTAATCAGTGCAAGTCGCGCCCAGGTCAAACCTCATACTTGTGATTTCCATTTGAAATGCGCATTGGATTGAGGGAAAATCAATGTTTATCAACACAAATGTCGCACATGCGCAGCGCGACGACTACCGCGCTTTAAATAAATAAACAAATGCTGGTCTCAGTTATATAGTTACGTAGTTGCGTTTGTCACGACTAGAGACCACTGGAACTTTGAAACGTGACTTTCTGTTGAAATGTAACACGAATAATTCAAAACATATAGAACGCCACGAATAATTGAAATTCGCACAACTGTAAGAAATTCACCAATGAACGATATCAGTTTATGAAATCGTGTCGTCATAATTACTACCTAGAAAACACAAATGCGACGAAGGAGCAGCACTTCTTCGTCATTCAAGTCGCCCTATTTAGTATAATTTTACGTAAATCGAATAATCATCTTTTCGTACATTGCCTATAACATGTTATATATTAGCGATCCACCCACTCATCATGCGTTTACGCTACATCGATTTATTACCAGCGCAAGTCGATCAAAACTACGTCTTCTGTGTCAATCATTATATTCGATACCTACCTATAGTACTTACGATGGTCAGACTCATGACAAAAGCCGACGCCGCGGTCCATTTTGTCCCTGTTCTCGTTATACCCGCGTCAGATGCCTTCAAAATCATGATTTCGTATTCCCTCAGGTATTTTTCGACAATCGCTTTCCAGTTCAAGTCATCGTCAGTTAGATTCAACGCACTGCCGAGTCCGTTTATGATCTCCGCATTTCGACGTAGTATCATTTCTTTAGAAAGCTGCTCGTGACTTAACTCTAGTTGATAAAAAACAAACGCACCGAGGCAGAGATATACCATCACGATGACTCCTAAAATAACATTGCCTTGAACCGTCGCTGTGCACACATTACGGCACCTTCTGTGGACTCTCCTCGGTTCGTTGCCTAACGTCATCGTCATTGCCTTTCACGTACGTAACGCACCTGTATATGCGTGTTTTCCATAGAAACGGCATCTGACAGCTCACAGCTACGCATCACACATTGATACTATTACATTGTCATCACTGACGCGCGCTTAAAGGAATCTAAACACAAGCGTAAACAATTTGATGCGCTGGTAACAATAAATAATTAATATTCAACAGCAATTTACCCGTCACGTGACCTATATACGTTACGCGCCGTGTACCAGCATGTCAACCTGCCATCAGATTGTATGTACAGTATATTGAATCATATACCTTCCTCTTTCTATTGTACATGATTAAATACAACTTCTTTTTCCCCAATATGATTAATATCGGAAAACTATTGAACTGACGGAAAACTACTGAACGGATATAGAGAGAAAATATTTATAAATAGCAAGCTAAAAAGAAAATATTCACTGAGGTTCATTTTATCGGATTTTATAAAATAGTCACTAGTTAACGTTGTTTGAATTAATTTGTGAAGGGAACAATATATTATCTGGTTAAATTAGTATATTCACTGGCAAAAAACAAAAATAAAATCCAGCAAAATATTTTTTCCATATCATAGTGCTAGTCAAACGTACTACTTGGCAATGCATACTGATTATTTTCTTATAGATATGATCATGTAAGCCACGACGTTTATAAATGCTGACTGCGTTCTTACGGGATCAACCCGACCGATTATGAGGGTCATACGAATAATGATGCGAAGTTATAAAAACACTAATCATAAATATAATGATTTTCTAGGGAATTGCGAAAATTGCAAAGACCGATGTGTTTAATTTGGTCACTTGGTATCGCGGAATTTTTCCCTCAAAATCATTGTTATCTTTAATGTGAACTAAATTTGTTTAACATTTTTGAAAGACAAAATGTATAATTACATTGCTAGCGAAGTGGAATAGCAGAACATGGGGTTGTCATGGAAACAATCTTTACACATTCCGTTTTGATGTCACTATTTTGTCACGGTGTATTGACGGATAGACTGTATTTCATGTATTCAACTTTGACCATCTCTCCATAACAAGATTTGAAAACAGGTTTAATTCAATCAAACAAATGAGTAAATGTCACGTGACTTCTCTACTATCTAGGTCGAAATATTCCTACAACTCAATGGTATATTTTTTATTTGAATAACAAGAAAATTAAGACAATTAAATAAATTACCAGTCGAGTTAATATATGAATTCAATTATGCGTAATGAAAAAGGTATCAATAGATTTTAAAATACGATGAGTCCTCTCATTACGCAACCAACATTTCTATGCATTATTCATAAAACCAGAATCAGAAAGAAATTACAACAATAGACTATTTCAGTATCCAATTCATCGCCGTCATTTTTTAAGTGCCCTTCACTGTAGTATCTGCAGACAAGGTGCTACCTTCAGACTTCCTTAGACACCTCTAATGAAATCAACATACATTGGGAGGATGCACTCACAATGTGCGACTATACAGACCGGCGCGCTGTGACGTCATTTGTTTACATTTTTGCCGATCAAGACCATGCGCATGTCTGACAAAATATGTTACACACAGACCGGCACAAATTCGTGTATCCGCAGTTGTGTATTTAACAGCTACACGTGCACTAGTCAGGTTGCCAATACATAAAAGTGTACAAATGCATATAGTTTACGTTTTTTGCTAAAATGTTGTTCACCACACCATACTATTTGATATCCAGATGCGTATAAACCTGTCACCCTAGGGCATTTTGTGTAATTTGCCGCCATTATATGTTTTTCGGCTCTATCAAATTAAAAATGTTATTAAGTGTAAATTTAGGTTTTGGTAAATACTGTTGAGAATTTGTAAGGTGAGGGAAATTTAAATATTCAAGATGGCGGGCTGAGATGGCTGCCACAAATGTATAAGGGATCATATCTATGCTTCCACATATGATATGATGATGATCTTGGTGTAAATGACCAGGTTTTATGTGTCAACAAATCCATTGCTGGTATTTTCAGACGTGTTCAGATATTTTTATAAACATTTTAAGATGCAGCTAAAATTGGTTTCAATAATACCGATGTTATAGAAGACTCCAGACTGTTTCCAGGATGCAGCCTGATATTTTTTGTTTTCTTGGTTGTTCAATTATGGCTAAAATTTGTGTGGTAGGTGGAAGATGTGTTTATTGTTTGTTGAGTCATTGTTTAGACACCCCGCAGCTTGAAATGGTTTGGTTCAAATCAAAATTCGACCTGGCGGTATCGTCTGAAACATGGCATCAACATGATTTCTGTTTATTTATTTACTGTTGTAGATTCTGAGAACTAGCCACTGAATATGATGTTAGGAATAAATGGTATTCTGAACAAGCTTTATTAATTATTGCTTGCATTATTCCAATATGGTAAATTTATTTTAAAGAATTCAAATAAAATATTATAAAATAAAATAAAATAAAATAAAATAAACAGAAATATTATGTGTATTTTTGCATGTTGGAACTTGGCTGGCCCACTCAAACATATAAAGAAGTGAGGTCTGTAGTTCTTAGTTTTTTTTAATTTTTCTTTAATTTATGAAAAAAAAATGGCATTTTACAGACTGCAAACAATAAAACACTCACAGTTCACCAACATGTCTCTTCACTTGCTTGAGTGTGAAAGTACATGGTTTAGTGACTACCTCTTATGTTTTTAAATTTTAGAATTTCTTTTATTTGGGAACGGTCTTTTATAAAAATAGAACAGATAAATATATACATATATTGATTAATTAAAGATTAATTAATTGGCTTATAATAATAACAAACAAATAATCAACCGTTTTATATGTGGTAATTACGTGGCTTAAACAATGATGGTAACATATATGTATTTTGAGACAAAAGAGGAGAAAATGCAACAAAAGATTTTTTCATTCCAATATGTCGTTATTACTTATATATTCAGAAAACTATCAAAAGGTCTTGTCTTTGCTGTCACATAAATACATGTAATTGTATTACCTGCTATAAGAATACTAGATAATTAAGCCTGCAGACAACATATGGATTTCTAAATATAATTATTGATGCCATTTGGCAGCAATGTCTGTTTCTCCCAGGCAACTAGTAACTAATATATATATATATATATATTGTTGCATATTGGGAACTAAAATTGATATATGATGGCACTGGTGTGTTTCCTTTTCCTGATCATTTGTTACCATTTTAGTAATTCATCATCCTATCATATGTTGAAGCCAAGGTATGACCCATATAAATGTATGGCAGCCATTTTAGCCCCCATCTTGAAAAAATGAATAAGGTCCCATTAAGCAGTAGGAATGTGTAAACATACATAATGTTGGCTTCGCCGTCGTCTTCGATTAATGCAAATTTATGAAAATAATTTTTATTAGGGTCTTTACTGTAATCAAAGGCCTGTGGCCCAAAATACTTAAACATAAATAAAATATAAAGTAACAAAAACAGTAATGTCACACACTGTGTTTATAAATTTCATTAATAATACCATATTACCATATTAAATACAGTAGTCTGGGCAAAACATTTTGTGAATATATATATATATGTGGCAATAGGAATAATTTTCTCACTGTAGAAAGTGTCCGGATGACAGTAAGCATGTGCGATCTACTTTACATTAATTTGGACCGCCGAAACCTACAAAATCATTTGGATATCTCTGGAAAAAATATTTGATCAAGAAATACACTGTCTATTGTATCAGTACATGTGTGCAAACCAATACTTGTCAATTTGGGCTCAGATGGCTGCACAGACTCAACTGTCAGCAGGCTTCATAAAGTCACAGATGGCTGGATAAAGTCATTGACTCAAAAGAAATTCACAACAGGTACAGCTTTCATAGATTTCCGTCGCGCCTTTGATACTGAAAATACATCTTAACAAATCTTAGATCCTGATTACATGCACATCGTCTTAGATAAAATATAGCTAAGACGAAAATACTGTTTATTGCTAAAGCTAGCTCGAATACCGTACACTGACGAACGAAGAACTTGGCGATTCTGAAATTTGCAAAGCCACTGTTGACAAAAAGTTATCTTGATACGTCAATTTATCACAATTGGTCTGTAAAACTTAAGTTTGACTACTACAATATTATATGGAGCAAGTATCGCATACAATCTGCAAAATATAATTTTGTAATAAATATTAAAAAATTTGGCCACGCGCATTATTTTCGGGTTCATATTCCATATTCAAGGATTCATATACCATGACGAGGAGTGATGAGCGTTGAAACAAAATAAATTATTCTAGGTGCCTTGTAATCTACAATATATTTAATAGAAAGGCTCCTGAATATGTTCGCCACCTTTTATATTCATTGAAACAGTACATGATAACACAAGGCATGCGTCTGTTGGGAATCCACCCATTCTCAGTGGTAAAGACAACACACCACGTTAACAAGGTAGATTGGATATTTCATTATTTACCAAACTGTGTAAATTCATCACCCAGTAATTATAGTCTAAAGAAAGGGTGTTATGGATATATCTGAAAAGAATACATTTTTAAATAATAAATTTTAGACCTGCATCTTATATTATATATTTATCTACATTTTACATTCCATTTTACAGAAATATGTGATGGCCGGGTCAAATAAGTAATTTAAATATTAGATCGAAATTCACCAGTTATTGTTAATTATAATTTTTACTTGTATGTATCTATTCAAATTTATATGGATAATTATACTATATTATAGTGAAGTCAATAAACATTTTAGAAGAAACCACGGGATAATCCGCTCCTTCAGTTAAAGTACAATGTCAACTATAGTTCGACTAGATTTGAGAATATATATCATTTTATATATATTTTTTTTCATTATGATACATGGCACCACCTATAAGGTCACGTGATCTTAGTCCCCTCTGGCGTGCCACGTACACGGATGAACTTGTTATTAATAATGTGTTCCGCATTTATTATCCCCTATTATCATATTTATTACAGGTCGCGAT